ACATGTTCCCAAAATTGATTTTGGATTTTTGAGATATTTCGACTTTTTGAGATTTATGCAAAATCTATTCTATATATAGAAGTAAAAAAAGTACCCAGTTATATGTATCTTTAATCAAAGAATAAATCTGGGTGGTCAAAAAATTTCGGGTTTTAAGTAAAATAATTTCATTTTCTATGAAAAACTATTTTGACTTTTTTCTCCGAAATTGTAATTTCAGGGCTCCAAAATAATTTTGCATGCAAGTATACTTTAGACCATTCTTTAGTTAGAAAGTATGGATATTTGATAGACTGAATAGTATGAGCTCCAGTTATAATTAAATCTAATTTTTAATAAGGCTAATTGTTGAGTTGTCATGAGTAAACTTTGTTTACATAGGAATTGAAGTTCTTTTTAAGTTATGCATGCATGAATATAACCTGTTTTAAATTATTTTTTTAAATTATAAGTTGAGGTTGTCAAGTAATATAAGTTAAATAAGGTTTTAATCAATCTGCATGGACTATTTCTTTTAATTGTTGTCTAAATTGATTGTATAATACATATACTTCTTTATCCAAGTATTTATGTATTTTAAATGATCCTTTTTATTTAGTTTCCAATTTACCAGATCATTGTTTATCTAACTTGGAATTATATATCAATACTAGGTCACCAGGTTTATATTTTACTATTTTAGTTAACTTGGTAAAATGTTAGACTTTTTGTTGTTTTTGTGACTTTCTAATATTATTTTATACCATCTCATGATGTTGTGACAATTTATCTACAATTTCACAAGCTCTATAAATAATAGTATTTCTCAATTTAAACTCATTAATCAGTTTGTTCTCAGTTATTTCAACTGGTGATGTTGCATCTTGTTCATATAATAAAAAGAAAGGGTGATTTAGTTGTATTGTGTTTGTGTGTTCTATAGGTAAACAATACAGTTGGTATATATTTATCCCAATTCATGATATCTCTTAGTTTTCCTAATACTGTTCCTAGAGTTCTATTCAAGTGCTCTACTATACTATTAGTTTGAAAATAGTAAGGTGAT